ATTGTAAATGCTGGCTCTAGATATATCCAGGGATATTTTTATGCACATTGTGTCGTGGGCTCCTCAAGTTTTATGTATTTCGTGTACAAACAAATATGTCTTTTTTTATGTTTCGACACACATGTGTAGATCCCCAGTCTTTGTCTTGTTTTATTCATTTGCGTGTTAGATCTGTATATGCAGGTTAGATTTTCGTTCAGTAGCCTAGATTCTAGTAGCCTAGTCACAAAAATAGTTCCGAGAGTTTATACAATCATTTCAAGCAAAGACGAAGTTGTATGTATTTAACGATAGTCCGCCGATCAAATGATATTCGTGTAGATTTACCTCAGATACGCGCTCACATGATAGGTATAACAGCCAATATTTGTGTTTTGATATTTCACCAACACTATAAGTATTTGAATAATGATATATTAAACGTTCCGTTCCGCGTGCAGTTGTATACCGTACAGAACAGTTTATACGCGAATCACATTACCATAATCAGTAGAAAATGGTATTGTCTACTCTTCATATTAGCAGAAAATATACTTTCAAATCCGTGTAGTTTGCAAATACAGTCTTCGTTCCATATCTATTTAGCTCCGTAATTTAAGAAATACGCGTAGCCAATGACAACAGCGCCATCCTAGTACATTATTACATATTCAGTTAACTAAGTTACTGTCTTGTTTTGTAAAACACACAAATGTAGCACTACAGCATTACATATATTCTAGGTCATGGCTTTACTCCGTATTCGTCGAAATTGCACGTTGCCAATAGCAACACCACCGCCGAAATACACTTGCCGTAGTCACCCAAATAATGATAAAACAAGCTTAAGTAGTAGTACTCTAACTAAAACTAGGCCTTCTGTCCCCGTATTTACAACACTTTTATATCTCTCTAATATCACTTACCGTATCTACTGAAATTATTGTATTGACAGAATATATAAATGTTAACATTACAGTTCGAATGCATACAGTCAATATCGGAGTTAATTGGTATACGTCAAATCTGAGCACCTCGAGACGTTTACTGTACTTGCTCAATGCATGTATTTTCATAACTGAAATTTACTTACACTAGTCGTGAATCGTTACCGTAGTTAATGCATTAAGCGCGACATACCGTAATAATAATAAATTCCTACCGTAGTCAATACATTAAGCGCAACAGAAAAGCTACCGTAATAATAATAAATTCCTACCGTAGTTAACGCAATAGGCACTACATACCGTAATTGTCATAAATCGGTACCGTAGTTAACCCATTAGGCGCGACATAACGTAATAGTCATAAATCCGCACAGCAGTTAATGAACTATAGGCACTACATGCTGTAATTAAACTGTTGGGCGCTCCACTCAGTACTTATTCTTTGCAATTGTTGTTGATGATTAATTTATCCGTCAGGTTATAAATATGTTATCTATCAGTACCGTAGTTACTGAAGGAAATGTTGGATTATTTGTATTATGTTTCTGTAAGCAGTTACCGTACATACCCTGTTGTACCACACATTGCTTGTATTACCTGACTTAGATATAAACTGTATTAGGATATCATTGATTACTATTTATATTATTGCATGTCATTATTATGTATGAATTGGTGTATTTTGAATGTCATGCAAGGACACTTGCTTGAATAAACCAAAGGAACTCACAGCTCTCTCCTTTCTTGTTTCAAGGCTCGCTCCCTATAGCTAATTCCCCAAATCGAGGCCTGATAGCATCTCTAGCACACCTAGCGCTAAAGGTCGTCCTAGCGGACACAAAGCAAAGCTGTCTTAGTACCAATCGCAACCATCTAACATAACAGTAACTACCAATGTTAACAAGAAATACTTCAACAAAGGAACAATGGCAATTAACAGCAGATACAGTTACGTGTGTTATCTGAAATACACTTGCAATACATGAAAGTTGGATCAAAGAAGAAATGAGGATGGGTGAGGTGTAACGAAGAGATTGAGTATTGATTGCCGGTTGTATATGAGCAGATTTGGGCTGTGTCTATAGTGCAGACACAGTATGCTGACTATATCGAGGCACAGAATTTGAAAATTTAGAATTGATGAGGTGAGGTGAAATTTAGTTGAACCTCGCAGTTAATATTCTGACACTGTCAAGTGTACGAGGGTCGGTCAAAACGTACTCGGCCTAACTATATTCTCGATGTCCAATGTTTGAAAAGTTTCCCTTATATCTTGAACGAATCATTAGCAAAGCCATATCCAAGTTTTCACACAGGTGGGTAATGTAATTAACGAGATGTTAGTCATCACAACACATTGGGGTATAAAATTTCTAATAAAGATTGGAGAAAATAACAAACGATCTGTCATTTGGTCCCTCTTGGATAATGGTATGCACTCAGATAATATCATATAAAATATGTTCAGTATTGGATGACATCCCGTCTTAATCAACAGTCAAATATGTGGATTGCTTGGTTTATATTTAGATGGGGCTGGTTTTTGAGACCCCCATTTTAATCTTTCAAAAACATTGTGTCCAGATATTCAGTGTTCACTGCAACTGTTTACATTATATTGAGAGCTGACACTTGTGTGTCCATTCAGTATTTAGTTTGAACCCTTAGCGTCATCATGTATGAATAAGTGAAAACATTAGAATGAGCTATGTCCTTATGATTACGCCATCTGAAAGGAGGACAGGTAGTGTCTCCAAGCTGTTTTAGTAAATATGAATGGGGGAGTTACTTTAAGAAGCGATTGTAGAATCAAATGTTTTTTTATGCACTTTAATATCAATGTTTGATTCTAGCCGATTTCTACCTATCTTAAACACACAAAATGTTTCTAGCATATTTTGTTTCCTTAAGTTTGTGATGCATATTTGGGAGTACCAAGATAAAAAGTCAAACAAAATGGTGATCGTGAGGCTATAACATAGCAAAACCAATTTGCTTGAGGTCCATAGATAATAGTTAGAAAAATATAACAGCTGCATTTGTATCATTTTCTAGGTGAGGCCGAGTACGTTTTGTCTGACCCTCGTATTTGTATCTCTCTCTGTGAATGTTTTGAAAGTGCATCAGCATTTGAACTTACTTATGACCACAGGGTATATAGAGAGTCGCACCTGAGTGTTTTTTTAATATTAAATATATCATCATGAGTTGATAAAGTTACAAATATCCGATTCTTGTCGAGGATATTTTTACTCTTATCGACGAGTGTTGATATATTTCATATCAGAAGACACGAGGGTGAGATTCTATTTATCATACAAAATCACTCATTATTAGTTTTCAATGAAAAATGTACATCTCTGAACATGGTACTGCCATTAGACTAAGCTGGGCCTCGTCTCGCATATCGCAATATACGAGCCGGTACAGGTTAAAGAGACGATGGCTGTGAATGCTTACGAAAAAAAACCACATTTACAATGTTATGTCATTTTCCATTGGTTGCTATTTTTAGACGGCTGCGCTGTCCTTTATCTGAAGACGTCCAAAACATATTTTCTATGTTTTGAAAAAATCGCTGTCATGCAGGCGCTGGAAAGGCCTTTGAAAATTAAATTGTTCTTATTTCTTGGAAACCTCTTTTTCAATTCTTACTTTCTGTTATTTTATGTCTTGGATGTTAATATTCACGAGAAATAACTGTAAACGTAAATATTCTTTTATTTGCGTGAACAGATCGTCGATTTTTAAATGCACACCCTAATTTCCCTATGCGACAAAGATTTTTATTATAAGCTTTGGAAAAAACTGAGCGAATAAAACCATCTCTGAGGTATGAAAGAGATACATATGTAGGTAATTTAGCGCGCAAAGAAAGCCGGGAACCAGCTTACCAATAGACTTGCAGTGCAGTGATGTCATAGCATTGTGACGTCTTCGGGTTTTTGATGTCATAGCACTGTGAGTCATGTAATTGATGACGTCAGGGCATTGTACAAAATATTCAGTAAAAACGATATCTCGATTTATCATACAATGGATAGTGTTCTCGGCAGGATAAAGCCAACGGATATTTTCGGTATCCGTTGGGGTCATATACGGATATCGATGCAAATTAGAGAGGTCATATGCAAATTTCAGGGACTACTTTCCCAGTGTAAACAAACATGGCGTCAAGGGTCGGCGGTCGTGTCCGGATTAACGGCCGTGGTTACGGTACTGTCAGTGCTTTGATCCCAGAAAATTCATGCCTGGTTTTCATAGATGGAGTCGGTTACAAAGCGAAGATAGAAATTCATAGGCTTACGAAGATACCAACATCAGTTCCCCGACCGACTGTCAGTGTTAGCGAGAGAACGGCGCACAGTGTCATGCTAACATTAAAGCGTATTTGGTTGTTCAAAATGTTAATTGAAGGTTTCTGAAGTTCCACGTGCTTTAGCATAAAAGCTTACTGGGAGCTAGATGACCGCTGAGTGATCAGGAGAAAATTATGTCACCGAGCTTGTGACGTAACGTATTTCTCCGCACATATTTGTGACGTCATAGACATTCCACGAAGTTTTGTTTCATGATTTGTGGCATTTGAAATCGCATTTTTTTAAATTATAAAGCAAAAATGACATTGTATGATAAATAGGTTATCACACTCGTGTGTTTTGGGATGGTTCATAACCTGCATTAGGAATAAACACTATGTATTCACCTCGCCAGGCTCGCTAAATACAATGATTATTCTTAATGCAGGATATGAACCATCCCAAAACACACTCACGTGATAACCTATATATACCCTTTCACACAAGCAATATTTCCTGGGGAATAAAGTTTTGGATGATAAATATATGTATGGTACAGCAGAACAGCTATTGGTCAGATTACCTTTTTGATGGAAGGTACTATCTATATGATGCTGAATATTACTATTGTCAGTGACAATTGCTTTTGCCCATCAGTAGAATACATGGTTGCACGGGGATTTCTCATGCTGTTATTTCATTCTGAAAGCCGTCTATCACAGATGTAATTTTGTAGTGATATGTGGGCGTTTGCTGGTCTGTATATGATATTTAAAAAATCAATATCTACATATCTAATTTTGTTCATCATCACCACCACCATCAAAATCTCTCTCACGCCACGGCATCACGAAAGCGCCTTGACAATCATTGCCTTCTCCTCCGTCATGTAGATGTCGCTGCCCACTACAAGTCTCATGCTGACAGTGACCCAATCTGAGTTATAAACCCCGAACATCGGCCACAGTGGTTCACTACAGTCTACATTGTCTAACGTCGACATGACTTTCTTCTCCTTCACATCAATGAAGACAATCTTCTTCCTGGCGTCATCATAGACAACACCGTAATGTAGTGTGTGTGATGCCCCTGCTGTGTTGGGGAGAGTGTCAGGCAGACACAGCACATGCTTCCCCTCCTTCCATATCTTCCTGCATATCCCGCCGTGTGTAGTACAGTGGTTGACGGTCATACAGTAGGAGTAAGGACGTCCATCTATACAATGATCTGCGTCCCTCTGCTCCTCCCTACATACTCCAACCTCCAGGATGAGGTTGGTCTGTGAGAGTGGTTTGTCCAGACTGACCCTGTTCTCCACCTCCCAGTACTGGGGACAACCATCCTGAGGGAGGGGGTCAGTACTGCATGTTCCACAGTACTTCTTCAGTCTCCCTTCCCCTACAGGTCTGGTGTCCGACTTCCTGTTGACCATGTCTCCTTCTGTGTTGATGTGGACTTTGTCGAGATTGAATCTGTCCATGTCATACTTCAGTGGTGTACCTACAAAATAGGACACATAGTCGGATTGTGAATAAAACATGACACAAGTTGTAATGATAAATTTATAAAGTGATAAGTATACGAAGTGATTTTTTAATAACTGTAGTCTAATTAATTACACATAGTGTAACACACACACTTTGCTGCAGTGAGGCGGGTGCTTTGATCTACTACACATGTATATTACCATTCGATTATCTGATGATATTTTAACCTCAATGTAGAGTAAAGATGAGCGATTCAGTAAGCAATGGTTATTTCTCGTCAAGAATGAAAATGAGTGTGAATTGGAGAGGTAGAAACAACAGCAATATATCCACAGACGATAATAACGCTATGTTATCAGATATTTTGGAAGATGAAATTCTAGGTAACTCAAACAGGTAGATGCTCGGAAACGGGTAAACACACCAGGGGCAAAAACAGAGGAGTGTCTGCTCCTATACGTTGTCATATAAGGAATATACGGATAAACGCGGTATAACGAGGAACCTCCTGATTGCTTGTCAAACCTGTCGCAGCTGGAGTGTCACGTGACCCAATTCAATCGCTCGGCAAAGTGTGGAGTTATCTGTGAAAATACTTGCAACTTGGATACTTGATCACAAAACGGCCACACGCGCCTTGTTGTGGAAAAAAATTCCGGGCACGAAACGTGCGTTTCATTGAGGTCTTCTCATTCACACAGCAGCTAAGGGGGATTAACAGTTATTCTTGATTGATTGTGTAAATACTGTTCATCCCTTTTAGATATGGTCCGCAAGCTGGAGGATTAGTGACAACACCCAACTAATTAGCTGGCTGGCAAGTTTTCACCAACAGACTCGAGATATGAGTGAGTGAGTGAGTTTGGTTTTACGCCGCTTTTAGCAATATGTATTTGATTCGAGCTTGATTTACCCTGAGCTGGATCTGAGCTCTCTTGTTTTAGTGTGGGCGAGCAGGGTGTGTTTTTTTTCTTCATTCAGAGGGCAAGCTATTTCTTGATCTCTTACTGGTAAGCTTAATGTTGTCTATTGTACCTCACTAACATGAGTGCATTTTAAATAATCTACCACCTACAGTCGCACAAGAAAGGCACCTTAAAACAAGAGTTTTGACATTTTGACGGACGTCTTGAGTTCTCCTTTTGCTCTACAACTACTCTCTGTTTAACGTTACTTTATAAACACATCACGTAGGATCTAGTAGTGAGTGAGTTAATATTTAACGTCACATCGGCAATATTTAGGATCTAGTATCTAAGTATAGTTATATTATAAACTTTATATATGTAAACATATTTTGTGTCAGGTGAGTATTTTATCCTTTTAATGTGTTTATATTTCACGTATATGTATGCCCCAAATATGTGTAGAAAGTTATGTATTTCCTATCATGATTATTATTGTGATATGTTGCTGCTGATACATTTCATGTCGTAGTATAATATGTATAGTTCTCTCTGAAAACTGCATTTATTTATTACACGTCTTGTTGGAGTATATTGTGACAGATATATAAATGTTATCAGTATCGGTAACTGTTGTGTGTAATGTCCTAAACTAGTATGTGATATGACTGTTTTATTGATTATTGTTTATTATTATTATTGTTTATTATTATATCTTCACCCTGTAGAAGCTACAGGGTGAAGATATAATATATATTTCAGCAAACAAACTTATGGAGCAAATCACAGCTCACATCAAAGCCGGCGTTGGTCTTCATTCAAGAGTACCAACTCTTACCCTGCAACTCGAACTTACATCAAGATCCCTTTGAGTGAAGAGTAATCTGCATTCTTCCACAACAGGTTAATGATTGTGTTGCCATTTTGTTTCATATTCCCATTGTAATTATCACCCACAACGCGTTATACAAGCGACATCGTCCATATGGGCAAGGTGTCGTTTCGGAGCAGACCATGAAAACTGTACCCTTTTTATGGTAACAAATTTGACTATAAGTTGGAAAGCCGCGTGCTAAGGTCAGCAGGCAAATTTAAGTCCCTAACTGCCTCTACACCCCCCACACCCCCAAACGATCGCAGGCTTTCGTTGGCGTGGTCAACCGTGTTGTCCTTGTTTTTGGTCTGTCCAACAAGTGCCCGCTTTCCCTGAACCGGGGGTACAGCAACAGCCTCAGTTGGTGAGTTCATGTTGCCGTCTTATTGTTCTATTATAGTATTCTTCATACAAATGGAGGTATGGCATGGATATTGTATCCTTTTCATAGCCTTGCATCACAAGCAGTGTTTTCAGTGTTCCCAGCACATGATTTACACGTGTCCAGTTGATTGAGTGGATAAAACTAGGAGAGACGAAGACCAGTGGTTCTACCGACCGAACTTAACCACTTATATTCTGGAATTGACAAATGGTAATATGGGGTATAAGTGGGAGATTATGAATGTACTCACACTTCAGAAACATAGATCTGTCTATAGCTCCTGGTTTCAGCTCATGAACAACACATTCTCTGGCCACACCTGTGACATAAAAATGAGCATCTCAATTACTGTGGATGTTAGACATTGGGCGTCATGGTTATATATCTGTTACGTCAAGGTGAAACACGGTAAGATTTAGTATGTGGCACAGCCAGTTGAGCTTTCCTTCGTCTACACTTAACCGCTTTGAAGAAACATAACTTACAGATTGGACAATCGGACATTTCGTTTAATTTTCTTGTCTTGTTTTCAGTTTTTAAAATGTGATAACGACACACCACGCAACACAGGTTATATTGTGATTTTCAAATAAAGATATTGATTAATGTTTTTTGTGTCCAATCGTGTCGTATCAATAAGTACTCCACGTTTCATGTAATGTCAGTTGTCCCGAGGTAGTGATTTCAGATTCGGAGAAAGACGCAGTTTGCATGTCTTTACCATTATGATGGGAGACAAAGGCTTGTTGATACAACAGTTTAGTAGTCGGATTGATTTTTAGATATGTGATTGGGGATGGTTGAGCTAATGCTAACTTACCTAGCAAGAAGTCCATGGTTGTTGGCGCTCTCTTCTCGATGAGTTCTTTCTCTTCAATGCGCTGAAAACATAGCAAACTATTTACTTATCATGAACTGTCTCACAAGATGTGAGTGAGGTTAGTTTTACGCCGCGCTCAGCAATATGCCCAGCTGCATGGTGGTGGTCTGTAAATAATCGAGTCTGGACTAGATAATCCAATGATCAACAGCATGAGCATCGATGTAAACACTTAGGATACGATAACATGTCCTACAAAGGCAGTCTTTCCAGAACATGTTCGCATGTGTGCCTTCACAAATGGGTTAAGGAACATTTACATCTGTGTCAAAAACGAGTGAGTCAGTGAGTTAATATTTACCTTAACATTGGACATATTTCAGCCATACTGTGACGAGAACAATCTATACATTAAACCTAATTATATTTATAATATAACACTAGAGTGACACATATTTGGTTTACGACCAGCATAATATAACAAAAATGTATCACTACAGAAATAAAATAAAATATAAAAACGGGCTACAGTGATTAAAAGCATGTCACATACACTCTCAGCGGACAATCATTTTACGCTACTTCAACCCCATATGACGGTATTGCCACCAACAAATTTATGTTTTCATTCCAAGAAATTAAAATTGCTTACAGTAAAAAAAACCAAAATTCATAAATGACTCAATTTCCTTTAGAAACCTAAAAATTAAATGAGAATTGTGGAATTATTTAACAAGGCTGAATTCAGGCAATCCCGGTTTATACTCTGGCGCGTGTCTGCCCAGATGGAGGCTGCCATTTAGCATGCAAAAACCCCGGATGTAACACGCGGCCTGCAAACAGCCACAAGCGTGCGCTCTATGGTCTAAGGGAGATAACTCCACAATAATTAACTTTTAATATGTTATCGTGTGCATATCTTGTGTGGCCAATGCGACATTGCCGCATTATCTCTTCATATCTGGACTGATAGCCCAAATAAATGTAACCATTATTTGATGTAATTTATTGATACCTACTTGAGTGTCCCACTTCTTTTGCATTAAATCATGGAGGCAAGAGATCTAATTACGGTTTTGTAATAAGAGTATGGTTTAAAAAGTGGTGTCACATATTTTTTGGGTGCTGCTTTAGCAGCCATATCGGCCACCGTGTAAGCAACAGAGGACGATGTTGTATCGCCAGTAGCAAGATCATTGTAGAATTCAAGTATTTCGATTTAAAGTGGATGTGGACATTACAAATGTTTAATTGCCTGAAGGCAACAAAGCAAGCCCGAGTGAGTGAGTTTAGTTTTACGCTGCACTCAGCAATATTTCAGCTATATGGCAGCGGTCTGTAAATAGTCCAATCAGGACCAGACAATCCAGTGATCAACATCATGATCATCGATATACGCAACTGGGAACCTTTGGCATGTGTCACCCAAGTCAGCGAGCCTGACCACCTGATCCCGTTAGTCGCGTCTTTCGACAAGCATTGGTTACTGAAGATCAATTTGAACCCGGATCTTCTCGGGCCCAGTGAAATGGATGTAATTTTGTCCGCATCAGCGAGTGAGGTATATACGATGTTCTAGACAAAGCCTGATAAAGAATAACTCATCAAACCCATCCCTAACTCTTCTGTGGGAGGCATCACCAAAACACAACCAGTTGCGTGCACATCACGGAAAATGTATGTTTTTGTTTTGGAAAAGCTTGCAGAATATGGCTATAAAAGATAGGCTCTTAAAAAACACATAACTATCAAAAGAGATGCCAAGATTGACAGCGGAGAAACTTTAACGTGCCTTGGGCATGCTTCAAGTTGGCACGTCAAGTCGAGTTGTTGCACAACGGTTTCAATGCCACCATTCAGACATCCTCAGTCTACAGGTCAGATACCAGCAGACAGGAACCACCAGAGATCGAATACGTTAGGGTCAATCACATGGGCGTGTCACGCTTAGAAACAGCCTTAGAAAGCCATATAGGTATATAGACCCTACCCTGACTGTGGGGTCAACGTCGTGTAACGACACCTCGCCAAGTTCGCCATATTGTTCGTCGACATATTTAAGATGCACTGCGTCAGGTGTGGAATGATATCCTCCAGAACAATAATCAAAGACTCATTGAATCAATGAGAAGTCAGTGCATGGCCTGTGTTGCTGCCAATGGTGGACATACCCGATACTGAGTTTTCAATGTAACCCCGTGTTCCTTCCATTCACTGATGATGTAAATGTAATCACTGTAATCATATTTCTGTGTTCTGTGTTGTCTTTCTTACTGATCCATCTATTCCTGTTTTAAATAAAATCGGTGTAAATGTTTGTACTAAGTTTGTGTTTCTGACTTCTTGAAAGAGATTAATGTTAGGACGAATTGTGTGCACAGTCAAAAAAAAAGAACTTTAACACGAAACAAAAGGAAGAATATTGACAGGTGAAGAATGGTTATTTGAGCTTTTTACCTAAAAATATTCTTCATATTGAGATTACATTTAATGATATTGCTTAGATCACATTTTTTAATAAGAAATATGAAGATGTGAGTATATGCAGGTTAAGAAACCAACCGATTTCAAGCTTCGGATTTCAGCATTGGACTCGTCTGTAAGTCTTTTTATGCGTTTCTCATCGGAACCAATTTTCGTCTTCAGTTCTGCAATGACCTGCAATAAATATCTTTGACTGCACATTGTTGTGAGGTAGTAGATACATGTTTTTTCGTGATCATGATTCGAAAATATCGAGCACTTGACGGACACGCTTTACTGCAAGTATGCTGCAGAGTTGTTCTTGACACACATGAAAGGGTGACCGTTTCTGGAGTTCAGTAAATTTGTCCAAAGGGCTGTTTAAAGTTAGGTCGAATTGTGTCCTCGGTAAAACGAGAAACTGAGCCCAAAACAAAAAAGAACATATTGAAGTGTGAATAAAGGTCAATTGAAATTTTACCTGAAATACTCTTCAAATTTAGATTACATTTAATGATATTGTTTAGATCACATTTTGTTCAATAAGATATATGAAGATGTGTGTTCATGCAGGTTAAGAAACCAACCGATTTCAAGCTTCTGATTTCAGCATTGGACTCGTCTGTAAGTCTCTTAATGCGTTTCTCATCGGAGTCATTTTTCGTCTTCAGTTCTGCAATGACCTGCAATAAATATATTCATCTACACGTTGTTGTGGGGTAGTAGATGCATGGCTTTCGTGATTATGATTCGAAAATATCGAGCACTTTGATTGCCAAGTTTTACCGCAAGTATGTTGCAGAGTTACCCGCTTTGTGGTTTACAAACATGAAAGGGTGATCGTTCCGGGAGTTCAGTAAATTTGTCCAGAAGGCTGTCTGTACGCTTGAAAAAGCAATATGAAGACTTGACACTTTTTGTGACCTGCCGGTGTCCAACGACGTTCGGGGAGGAAATCCACTGATATATGTTATTGTGCCTGCTCCTTATCTGACCCATGGAATTGACTCCTTTAGTGCTTTTATATGACATTATACCGTGTTCTCTTTGATCTTGTGTAGCCATTTACTGATTTTGCCATACAGTTCTGTATGAGGCGTTCATCAGCTCGTACAAAAAATAATAGAACAAATACTAAACATTTCAGGTTGCTCCTTGATGGAAACAAATCATGAATGTTGAGACAACTTTACAGGTAAGTCTCATGATGTACCACCATTGACAATACTCACCATTTTGTGTTTCATTTCCATGTCGGCCATGAAGTCATCATCAGTCTGAGTATCCGCGTCTATAAAGATTCGAATAAGACATGAATCAGACGGTTTATCAAAACGATGGATATATTAATTAATTAACAAAGTTGCATGAATTATAACGAGACAAAGTCGTTGTTATAGATGCACGTGAAGGAGATCTTAATACAATGCACACCACTTCATATACTAGCTGTACACATGCCTTAATTATACAAACAACTAGTTGTTGTTTTTTCCCCAGCAAGCATACCTTTAACATATTGACGTGTCAAGAGGGGGCCAAATCCTGATGAGATGGATCGGAGTTTTGACAAGGCGATGCTGTTGCAGACAGCCGGAGGAATGTGTGTTTCTGGTATAGCAGTGTCTTGGCATGTCTGAGTCATGTCCCTTACAGGTCTCTCTCCAGCGCCAGGAGGCCTAACTTTGAGCCATAGAGAAGGACTTTGTCGATGTAGCCTAATACCCTTGTGCATGTCTTCCGATGTTCTTCATAAGTGGTGAGAAGATCATGTTGTATTGCATTTGCTTCCTTTGTTTGACTCTCAAGATCGATCAGAAATTCCTTCTCACTTTGATCTAGTTGTAATCTCAGTATCTGGAAAGTATGGTGAACCGTTTCTTTCCAAGTGTTGTGCGTTCTGTGAGTGGATTCCCTTCCTTGCTTTACGCTCTGTATGTATAATTGCTGGCGATCCTGTATTGTTGATAGAACATTCTTATAACGGCGGAGCTGTTTTGTTACAGCATCAGCAACCACATCCAACTCCTCAACATCATGGTGTGCGTGATGGTTAAGTCTACATCTCGCACAGATCAACATCTGGCAGCTTTTATCGAAGAGATAAAGGGAATCGTGTTTATGGTTGTTGCAAAATTGTGGAATGTTCGAGACAGTCGGTACCATGTCGCCGAAGTTTTGAAGTACATGGTTTCTGAAAACTTTAAGGCTGTTGTGCATATTTTGGCAGTATTCACAGAGTAACTTTTCACAGTCTCGACACCAACACACAGCCTGGTTGCCGTCATCTTCATGAGTACAGAGAAGCTCTGTGGGGCGATGTTTGACTGTCAGGTAGAATATTTCTTTCTGTCTCACTGAATCCTTCTGGAGACTTGTGTCTGTGAGGTTGACGTCCCTCTGACATGTAGAGCATATCACACCACCAGCAGCAGATGTCACACACGTCTCACACACAGCGTGTAGACAGGGCAGTAGGTAGGGGACGGGGTCCTTCAGGGTAAACTGCAGCTGACAGACAGAACACGTCGGGAAAATGTCCCTTCTGAAAGACAGAAAGGTTATATGAGCAAATGAGAACACTGAGTGTATACTAAAATATGATACTACAGAGCTACCCTGGTGCTTTATATCAACTTATTTATTGAAACATGACCAATATCTCATGACTGAACTTTTTAAGTCAAATGTGTCACAAACAGTCTCAGTGAAAAAATAATGTGCCGCCGTGATTGTCATGTCAAGTCCTCAAATTTGCATAAGTCAAGTCTTGTGTCATGTAATTATTTATTGTGATAGTTTACTTCAAATTGAAATTCATAAACATTAATAACAAATATCTATGAAACATTTTGTATCGAAAATCTATGCATATATATGCAAACCGCATGCGATTTGGGAACCTTTTACAAAGACATAAGGCTTGCAGCTGAGTTTATTCTCCAGTGCACAATTTTTGCCTTACTCCATATAATTGGTTATTAGGTTCAATTACTAATCATGTGCCTCATACAAGCTATTCCATTGTGATATTTGTGTGCCTTCTGTGACGTTTGCATTTTGGCATATTATTTACTGCAATACATTTCGACCTTACGCATTATCTTAAGAATGTAAACCAACGTCTGTGTTGTGATTAGATATTTGTTGATTGATCATTAAATCTTTGAAGATATTTACGTTGAGTACGATTTCTGGGTAAACTTTAGCGTATAACCAACATGCAGTAGGATCTTTCTTTGTGCAAATGACACAACGGGATAATATAAGGTGCAATGGTATGAGTGATGTAACGTATTCATAAAAAAAGGTTTCTCAGTACAGAACTATGAAATTTATAAAGGCCAGGTCAGCAAGTTGGATCACTATACTGGTGACAATGTGGGATTGCAAAGCTTTTTGCTAGTCTGTCTTACAGTCCCTGAACCACATTTGTCCCCCTGAGAAGGTATGTAAGTCCCATTTCTTTCAAAGGTGTTTTCATTCCACGAATATTTAATCTTAGATCATGTGTTATTTCAATGTATGGCTAATTTTGACTAGAATCACCAATGGCTGAAGGGATGATGTAAATCCAGCTAGGTACTGTATGTGATCTATAGCCTGTTTTTATATTATGTATTTTTTTAAATAATGCTATTAGTTTTATCTTTACATGCTAGTTTTAATTCTAACTGTGATAATCTAGTTGTTTCACTGTCCTTTGACGACATGTGTTATAATATATACATATTGTTTATAAGCGTCCAATATGTTCTCGTCACGATATGGCTGAAAAATAGCCGATGTGACGCTAGATATTAACTCACTCACTCACTTAACCACATTATTTTCCCAACTGTCTTGTCCCCCTTGCCAATGTTAAAGCCCTAAATATAGCAAGACAAAAATTCCTCATGTTCAGGATTCTTAATCTCATTGGGGCTCATTTTCAATTTCAAATGGGTTTATTTGCTGCTGTGAAAATAATTATTATTTCAGAGACTAAGTTTGCGGTAGTTGGCAATCTTAGCAAAAGATACACTACGTTTAATAAAGTGGTAAATATCATATCCCCTGTCTGATATGGACTAACAATAATTTCTCGGAGGACAATAAGCCACCAACAGTCTCGGTAAACAATTATAGCTTTCCAGATATTTAAATACATAAATTTATACTTAAACAACATTCATCAGAAGATAACGAATTCCCTAGCCCGCACATATTTGAAAGAACAAATCATCTGACAGTTACTTCAAGTCCAGCTTGATGAGAGAATTTCTTTCTAATATGCCTGACTGCATACAGGCGTAGTTATTGAGCTATAAAAGCAGTAACATGGAATACGTATTCGTGACGTTACATATGACAGGTGCACATCAATATCAAATTTAAAAAAATACAAATTCTGAATTTCCTAGTAGCAACAGGCAGTTGACAACATGTTTTTTTGTTTGTGCACAGTTTTATGTAACATGTCTTGCTCTTTCGAGACATGGTCCTGACAAACACAACACTATGTTAAAATCAAACTTGCTGCCATGTCAAGTAGCACAAGGCACCATCTGACACCCTGGACCTTGTATGCGCACAGGTTCAATATATTGCCTATTATTTTTGTACAGATATGGTCCGGACAAACATATCACTGTAAACAGAATCTACATCGTTTCCTAGGAAATCGAGAGAAATAGAAATGCCACACATCTGAAAGAAGAAAAAGACACCACTTCGAGATCTGATTGACATACCTGCCAAGGTTTTTTATTAATTTATTAAAGGATGGTATTCATGGAGATTGAGAGAAATAAAAATGCCACAAGTTATAGCGTAAGGCGACAAAGGGTCTGTTTCTTGTTTTTACCGATTATAGTAGATATGTATTGAAACGGTGTATGAGTGAGTTAACGATGGTGTTCTTCAATAAGAATAGGTTAACAACAGAATACCTGTTACAATTTCGCAGACTTATTTTTAGCAGGTAAGTGTAACTGGAACATTCCATCTAGGCCCAACTAAATCTGCAAAGGAACACTTGTTAACAGATCATCAGCAAATATACAAGCTAATTAGCTAAGCAGCATTTCAACTGCCATACCCAAAGAAGGCTAAAACCACGACGTTTTGTCAGGGCATACAATAACATGCACAGACAGAGTTATGTCCGCTTAATAAACACCTGGGAATTATCTAAAAGGTTCCATACAACAAGTAACATTTTCTTGATGAGATATATTTCATTTACAAGCCTCGATGTAAATGATGATGACGTAATCAAGTTTAAATCCTCTTCTGATGTTTTTTTCTGATCCCCTTCCCAAATTGAGGTTGAAACAGCTTTTATTTATCCAGTGCCTTGGGACATGCGTTTTATGAATATTTTATAAGGGGCAGACAGGTTATATTGTCCCTGAACTTGTTATGGATTTCCCTTTTCATATATACACAACCATTACATTCTGTTCAGTCGCAGAGTAGATAGTTGCCTGTACACTGAGAAATAGCGTGCTCATCTTCGTTTATTCAATGGAAGTCTTACTCTTGTCATATACAGTAATGTATATGCTATAATAAACCCAAAGAAACCAACAATTTTAGTTTGTTTTAACCTTAGGTTGACATAAGACTGTTACATATATAGATCAATATTTACTGGACATTAAAATGAACATTTGAGCCGCAGGAAGATGTATGAGGAACTCCCATCGATAGCGTTTGCTCTATCACAAGGTGTAGTGGATAGACTACACAGTTTAAAAAATATATTCAAGTCATCAAGCTTCAGGAAAAACGGCAACCGAGTGCTGGAGGTAATGTTCTATGAATTATTATGTTCAAGACAGGAATTAGCGCTCGGGGTACTGTTGTTCACAACTGATTGTGCTTTTTACAATGATATTGTGTAAACAAAGTTACCGTAATTTCCCAGTGAGGTGACCAAGTGTTGGTTACTGGTGGCTCATAACCCATGGTTTAAACATTTCTTCTATATTTGTGATGTACAAATGTGCATAACCATTTTTAGTTCCCCTTGCCCTTAGCACTGTACCGCCGTGATATTGTTGGAATATTGCTAAAAAAGGCGTAAAACCAAACTCACTCACAAACTAACTGTAAGTCCCCATGGTCCCTAGTGTGGGGATCTACCTTCAGTTGTTGGCAATCCATAGCCTGTACTTTCATCTTGTATTGTCTTTCATAGTTAAGCTGTTTTTGATTTTCGTTCTAGTTTTACATTAATAACTGTGATATTATAGTTGTTACTGTCCTTTGCAGACAGATACGTGTATTATGAAAATTTAATTTTATTCATTTATATATTTACAACGTTCTTAGTCACGATGTGGCTGAAATACTGCCGATGTGACTTTTGATTTTAACTCACTCACACCCTCACCCTTGCCATTAGATGTAGCCTTCATGTATGTGTATATATGTCCATTTGTAAACTATTGGCTTTTAGTTTCTGAATAGCAATATGGAAGAGTCAAACGTGTCTTACGTGCTCGATGTCCTTGCATCAGCTTCCAAATGTTGCAGTTCTGTGAAAGAAGCATATTGAAGCATCAATAAATACAAAATGATGTTCAGTGTGAGGCTAAAATCATGTTATCAAAGTTTGAAACCACACACGTATTCAGTGATTCTGAAGCATGTGCAAGAGTGACATTCATATCATTCTGTAATTTGTGTGATTACCTTGTGATATATATCCTTCCCGGGTAAACATTGTTTTTCGAACCTTTTGGTTTTACTTCCCCTATGATACTTTGTCTGTCTTAATAATATGGTTTCCTCGACTTTGTATAACAATTGGAAGTACTGGTACAATCAGCAGGTGTGAAGTGTTAATTATAGATTTCAAAACCGTCATATCCGTTGCCATACGGAGGCGTAGTAGGGCCACGGTGAAAAAATCTTTAGTCTCATTATCTCCTACGTAGGACATAGTATCTCCTACGTAGGTCATAGTATCTCCTACCTAGTATTTAATATCTCCTACGTAGTACTAAATATCTCCTAAGTAGGTAATACTATCTCCTACGGAGTACTTAATATCTCCTACATCGGACATGCAATATCTCCTTAGTAGGAGGTGAACAAGATAATAGCATTAATTTGAAATGGTTGACTTAAATCCCCAGCCAGACATGCAAACAATCCCCTGTTTCACTGTTTCAGTCACTGTTAGAGTATACAGTCATGTGTTTCATTCGCTATTAGAGTCTACAACCATGTGTTTCATTCACTATTAGAGTCTACTATCACGTGTTTCATTTACTATCAGAGTCTACTATCACGTGTTTCATTTACTATTAGAGTCTATTGTTTCATTCACTATTAGACTCATGTGTTGAATTTATTGTTGCACATTACTGTCATGTGTTCGGCCGATTGTTGTACCTCACTGCCTTGCGTTCAGTTTGCTCTACTATTACACGTTCCAGTTAGTTCATATGTTGCACTTTGTCACACTGTACCATATAGCGTTTGATATTTCAGAGGTCGTTGCACATTGGTCATAATCTGCGTACACAGACCTGTGTTAGACTATCGGTGGCAATCTATGAATGCTTATTCCCAAGACTCAGAAGACGGTCGAGTGTAATAGTTAAGTCGACACAGAAAATGTTTGTCAACAATATTCTCCCTAACCTTCCTCCAAGGTAAAAGACAACGTTACCATCTTTTTTGTGAATAAATATTACAGCTTGTAAAGTTTGTGGCATTTCACATCATGGAGATTCTGTGTAAGAACTAGACCCCAGTAACCTGTGCTTGTGGTCCAAGAGGACTTCAAGTGTATCCGGTCGGTAGGCGAGTGATGCGGGTGACATTGCTCTTTGGCCAATATATGGTTTTTGTGTTACAGCGGTTTACAAATAACTAGAATGACAATTCTTTGCCTTTTTGAATTTCGAATTGTTTTACGCCGCACTCAACACTTTTCCACCCAGACAAGTCAACCTGTAAACGATCACGAACAAACAAATCCCAAACAACGAGCGATTTATCCGATCAAACATAGCCCCATCTGAAGCCAAGCAACAACTTGCGGAGAACGTGTTATTACCAGAGTTTCATATCATAACCTCATCCCCTCTCTCTCCCTCTGTGTATGAATAGATGCATGGATGATAGATCAAACATAACCATAGCAAATGTGCCATAACTGCACTTATCAATAGAAGGTTCACATCACCCTAACGTAACACACATACACAATAACGCTGCACAGCAACACTGCGTTAGTGTCATGACTATTCACTGACTCACATTTCTGCTATCTAATGTCCTGCATAAACATTTCTCAAATTAATACCCATACTTCATAATCCGAACCTTAAAAAGGGAACATTTTCTGCAATAAGTCAATTGCTACGATTGGCATGCGTATGTCAACGATCGTAATTACAACATTAAGCGTCACTCAGTACCCCGATTCGATATGTAAATATTTTCTAGCCATTACTAGCCTCTAAGTAGACATAAAATGTAATATTAAAAACATGGAAGGAATTATTATCACGTCATGACGTGGTTGCTCGACTTAATAATATCCACATAACTGCAGGAGTCTTATCAATTAGTTGTATATATATATACACAGATATTAATACATATTTATCATAGTAGGAGATATAAAGAAGAAAGTATGTCTTACGTAGGGGATATTAAGTACTACGTAGAAGATATTATGTCCTATGTAGGAGAGAGTGAGGCCAATGTTTTTTTTCACGGTGGCCCTACTACGCTTCCGTATGAAGACCTATTTTGAGGTACACAAATACCTATTATAAGTGAGAAAAGAGAGAATGCAACGACAAAAGAAACATTTCCACATAATGATCTTAACCTTAGTAAATCAAAAGCTAATGCCCACCGATGCGACTTTCAATACACTCAACATATGTATACTTTAATTGAAGGCAGAAGTATTTGCATTGACAGAATGCTCATTCGTTGAAATACACAATTGACAGAATGCTGGTGGAACAATTAAACAGAATAGCTCTGTGGAACTCGAGGCAAACATTTGTCGATTTAGAAACTAGCTAAACTGGAAGGCTGACCGACAAGACAGTATATACATCGACAAAGAAATCAGATATTTACAAAAACATATGTTCATCCAACAGAAACCTGTTTAGAAGAATTAGAAGCAAGTCCCAACGTATGGTAACAGTAAATTAAATGATAATGAAAGATTTCCGCACCATAGATTTTAATTCCCAGTATACGTAGACAATCACATATCATTTTCACGTGTTTTGATTTGGGATGACAGAATGGACACGTTACACCCATGTGTTTAGAGTTTAGGTTGGTTAGTTCAGCTTCAGCGACAATACTTATCGCAGCTGTTAGGTTACCTTAATTTGTGTTTTGCCGCTGAGAAAACAATGCTTACAAAACTAAAACTGATTTGTGAGCTGAGCACTCTCTTGGCATTAGTTGTTATAACATGATTTTCCATCCCAACACAATTAATTTCTATTGGAGATAACACAATACCTAGTCAGATCCAATTGTGACAAACTGTGTGCCCCGGAATGAGGTAATGTGTGATCTGTTACAAATGCTAATAATTGTTTTAAATTGTTTAGGCGGACTGCAACTGCCACCGTTTCTGCTCTTTTGTCAAATCAATATAATTCAGGTGTGAAATAAAAACAACATGTTCTCGTCACGATATGGCTGAAATATTGCCGATGTGACGTTAGATATTAACTCACTCACTTAGAAAGAACATGAAGACGTTTACGTAAAACATCAAATGTTAAAGGACTACACAACTTTACGGAGCCATACATATTTATGTAGATGTGGCAAAAGTTAATATTTACCAGAAGGTTTGTCTTGGCTTGTATTCAGAAACTGTGGGGATGATTCATCCTCCAGTTTTTCCTGCTGAGCCGACAGATATTTCAGTAGAGTTGTTTGCATTTCGTGACGTAGATATATGGCCTCATCACCGGCCTCCCTTGTATGTATTTGTTGTTGTAATTCACCCGCTGCCTTTAAATAGAAAAGAAACAATTCTGTAGAAGGAGGAAGACAAAGTCTGGATGCGGAGGACAAGCACAATGTGTCGTGTATCATGATTGTTCGGTTTCCATGTTGGATAGTACTCAAAAAGCCATCATTTGATAATTACACCTATTCCGTTTGCTGACCTGTAGATTCCTTCCTTTTACTGCGTTTCATGGACTTAACTATTATGGCAGCTACACCACTGTTTAATCAAAATACAGATTTTACTTGGAACTATATTATTGGTGGCACTGTGTGAAAAGTGTCTGAAACTGTTCACTGAGCTGGTAACGTGTAAATATTCATGTGCGCATTACATAATAACGACTATGAGCAAGACTTTTTGCGTTAAGTAATTTAATTATGGTATTGTATGACAAGGATATCGCAAAACGTGTTTTAAGGTGATGTCTATCCTGTTTTATGAACAAGTGCTATGTTCAGTCCAAAATGAGAATTTGTGCTATACCAAAACCACTCGAGTGATAAACATCCCCTTTCTATCTTAATTTCCTTATGTCATCGAAACGATATATGAGGACTGCTACTTTCTTTCCTAAAATCATTGCAATTCATCTGGTTAATTTGCCTAAAAACACAAAATGTGTACATACATCTTGTTTGGGTATGGCTGGCGCATGTGCTGTATCCTCCAAAGATGGGGAAAGCCTGTCGGACTCAGTGTCCTTGGACAGATGTTTCAGGAAGGACGTCATTACAGTTGTACACTTGTCCTTGCCCATATGCAGTTCGGTGGGAAAATAGATGGATTTGGTTGAATTCTCACGTTTGTTGATCTTTGTCAGGAAACTGTGTTTTTCCTGACTTACAAGGTTGTCTACTGTGACGTGGATAAGATTGAAATCAAGATTCGTATCCTTCTTCACATGTTTAATAATCAACGTCGCTAAGTTGGTGTTGTATTTAGTGATCGTCTTGTTGTTCCCATCTTTGCCTGTGAACGTCAGCACCATAACAGGCTGTGTTGGGGAGAACACACATACGTCACACAGGACAGATGAAGGTACTCGCCCCTCCCAGGATGGATCTATCATCTTCAGTAAGCTGCCTCCTGCGATGATGACTGTACAGTCTCTGTCTGGTAGGTCTCTCAGTCGCTGTACAATGTGGCCATGGTATGTGTTGAGTGTGGCATCAATATGGGCCGGGAAAATGCCGAAGACTGAAACAAAACAAAGTAGTATAATTAATGGAGTCACACATGCTCATATTTCGCTGGTGATCACTACCGGATTGGTTTTGTTTGTTTGTTTGATGTTTAACACCGAACTCCATATTCCAGATATACCGCGAATGTCTGTACCAACCAAGTCAGCAAGCCTCACCACCTATTGCCGTTAGTTGACGTCTTACTACAAGCGTGTGTTTCTGAATTCTAACGCAGATCTTTAAGGGTTTGCCACTTATGTCTTTACAAAAATAGCTTGAAAACTGAAATTTGAAAAAAAGGAAGGTGTAATAATTTTCTTGAAAGCTTTTTATTTGTGATTCTGCTGAAAGAGATACTAATGATAAATATTCACAAACAATGTCTTTTTGACTCGGAGACAGTGTACATGGGATACAATTATAAGACAACTTAATTTAGGGCAAATATCACACGCAAGCACGCACGCACGCACACACACACATATATATACAGAGATATACAGAAATGTATCTAATTATCCCATTAGTGTCTTACTGTACATAGACTAAAACACACTTATAAACATTTTGGACAACACTGTGAAACAAAACATCTTCTTGTACGTACATGATTGTGTTGATTCGACTGACAGTATTCTTTGTATCTCTCTTTGTTCCGTTGCAGAGACAATACTTGGCCGGTACATATCACCTGAAACAGGTACATCAAATGGTTAAATTATACATAGTGAAAAGTAAGGTAATTATTGCAAATCACATCAGTAACAATAAAGCCTCACCAGAAGTCTTGAATCCTGGTGCGGGATCATCAGGGCCAGACAGGTCATCAAAAGTCGGTAATGGAATATCTCCCTCTGAGCTGTACCTGCTTGGGACACTGGAGTCATCACTGGAGTCGCTGTCGATCGTCCTTCCGGGAAGCTCTAAATGATCTTCCATGGTGAACGTCTATGTCTGCGTGGCTTGAAATCGCTCTAACCAGGCTTCCTTGTCCATGCGATGTATAGTATTGTTCCTTACTTCATACGCCCTCGGTCCGTCCTTGTCATTGAAGATGATACCATCATACCAACGCACAGCTACCTCAAGTACACGTCCCTTTTTGCAAGGAATTGGATGTAACCTCACTTCAATCAAATCGTCAGGAACACTACAGAAATTCCCTTTTTGTAAGGCTATTGTGTCACTTTGAAGTTTACATTTAATGGCATTGATGATCTCAGATTCCGGGAAATTGATGGGAAACCCGTCAATATTAAGAAGTTTGGTTCTATAACCTTCAAACTCCAGAGCATATTCACTTATCCCAACATAGTATGATCCTCCTCCCTCAACCTTTGACATAGAGGTCAGGTTATCTTTAAGTTTGAGATCATGCCATATAAAGTGCACTAAATCTGACGGACTTTTCGATACTTCCCTTGCTCTTTGATTTTTTAATTTGTCAACATGGAAACTTTTGACCTCAGTATTTCTGCTTTCATGGAGATTTTGAATATTTTCACATAAACCGTTTGTTTTGGGTTTCTGTGTATCTTTGTAAGTCTCCCTATTACTCATGCACTTAGCCAAACTGGCGGAAGTTACTGGCAGGTTTTCAATGTCATTCTTTGCTTTCGTGTTAAAATCCACAGTAGCTACACCATTCGTTTCTTTCACGTTTACTAGAATGAAGTCAGTATTGCCTTGAAACTCATGAATTGCCGAGAGCCACTCCCGCCTGTATGCGTCCACGTATAATTCTCCGTCATCAAGGAGATCAGACAGAATCTTGGTAATGAACTCATCAAACTGTTCCAGACACCTGTCCTCGGACAGTTGACCCTCTACATGAATCAGAACTTGGCCTCCTCCGCTGTTCCTCCAAGCTGAGACTATCTTCCCGAGTCTGTCAAGAGTTTTCTTCTTTTTTTCTAAAAGTTGCCCAGATTTCTTTCCAGCACAAATGATTGTTCGCGTTGTGTGAAGAATAATTATGTTGACATTGTTGTATTCTGACGTGTAATATTGTCCAGCTGCCTCACATTTTGGGCACCCATCTGGAAATGTATAAATGACCGGGAACATATTTGGAAGAATACATAGCATACTAAAACATGCATTACAAATGCAATCTTTAAAACAGTACATGTTTAGTTATGGAAATCCTGGTCAGAAGTGTCAAATTGGTTATTACGCACCAGATATTATTTATGTGACACACAGTGTACCCTTATTGCTAAAGCCTGACTAATTTGGAAAGACGAACACGTTAATTCAAACCATTATCTTTAACCTGTGAAACCAAATCGTATTTATATGATACCGAATATTAAGTAGAAACTAATATTATTACCTGTATACGTCTTAGCGGGTTCTGAACTACAGGATGACATGACATCATCATCATACTGAGGACATCAATGATCCACTTGTGTAACGTTAACCGGTCAATCACTCTAAATCCTGAAAACATGCAAAGAAAGAAATATAAGCATATGACGTGATATCTTATTTTCACGGTGGGATGTGTGGCAGACATAAGAAAAAAAATATCAAAGATTTACTACACTTCAAATTTCACGATCATATTTACACAGATTTATAAATTGTCATCAGGAAGCCTTTTGAAAGTGAGTAATCTTTATAGATTTAGGACTCCTTTCAGTTTCTCTTTTGCCTTTTCCTATTCCTATGGATCCTAGTTTTAATATCTACCCGATATCTATGTCAGGAAGAGTATATTGACTAAACTCTTTCAATCATCTCTTGTTCTATTTTAGTGACCACACAGAACCGAGCTCATATTATATTATTATATAGGAATACATACGGCTTCTTGCATGTGAGAAATGTATACACGAGAATAACTGGAGGAACAAGCTGCTTTTAAATATAATCCATTTTTGTGTTATGATAATATAGCTGCACCTGACGCAATAAGAAATAGCGTAAATGTTGTCCCCAATAACATTTTAAAAGTGAGGATAATTAGGTCTCCTTGCCTCGTTCGGATTATTATTATTATTATTTATTATTCCGCCGATTTTTCTACCAAACAACTCCTAAACCAATGCTCCAAATCGCTTACAAAAACCACAGATGTGCACCGAGGTGTAGATATTCCCCTTAAAAATTTCTAGGCTCCAGGCCCAATTGCAAAAGGGAGATAATTCAAAATTAATTCCAAAATTTCAAAGTTTGACAGCAAATATCTCAATAACTAATTGTTCCAACACTTCCAAATCTCTTGTACATATGCACAATCGAATTCCCAACACATTTTCCCTGAACGGGTCAAGTCGCTAAAACATACCGTTTGGCAGTTATTTTTGTTTTCAGTTTTGGGCCATGTTTTTCAGCAGTTTTCTGAGTAGTTTGCTCCCAAAATGTGCAAATTCAGCACAAAAAGTGCCCTTATGGTAGATGAAGGCTTGGTGATTCCAGAACACTAATTGTTTTTGTAGCATCCCACAGATGACATCCTTACCTTGTCAGCTTGCGGACTGGGTTAACCTCTTTGGTCATGTGGACAAGGCGTCCGACTTCGGATCAGAAGGTCCGTGGTTCGAATCCCAGCACGGGACTCGGCAATTGTATGGCCGCTACATTGGCGCCCAATATCATATCAAATTTGAGCAAAATAAGTCTCAGAACACAACTATGCGTCTCGAGACGTGCCTTCTGTTGACGGGGGAGTATGTAGCAGGGCGTGGAGTCATCCCACAGATGACATCCTTACCTTGTCAGCTTGCTGACGGGGTTAACCTCTTTGGTCATGTGGACAAGGCGTCCGTGGTTCGAATCCCAGCACGGGACTCGGACATTTTATGGCCGATACATTTTGACCGTAGACCCACGAACAACTGAGATACAGCCTTTTAAAGAGGGAACTATTTCTTCTCCGAAACTTCTTAAAAGGTACATCACCCCTGCGACCCCTGCTGTATTTGGAATATCCGCTCGCCTGTCAAAATCTGCTCCGTTTTGTACGATGAATTCTAGCCCTCAGATACAAACAGATAGAATTGAAGCCGAGGAGCCCTCATCGTTGACTGCACCTATATTTTTTCTGTGTGCAGTTCTGTGTGATCAACTAGAAACGAGTTCTCTAAATAAGTATATCTTTACTCAATCTACATTCTTCCTGTTCTGTTTCAAAACTGATATCAACTATGATAAGAACAATGTTCTATAATATATAATAATTGATTTCTTAAGCGCCAAGTATCCATCGTGGTTCTCATTGGCGCAATGACATTCAAAGTTAAATCTATGCACAAAATAAACACACAATCCTGAAAGTCAAGGTCAAATGCTGAGCGGAAGTGATGTTTTAAGGAGAGACTTGAAATGGTATTTGGCAGTGAGTTGCATAAGTGGGGACTGCAAACTGAGGAGACACAGACATCGTAGAAGTAGACAAAGGCTGGGTAAGAAGGGTTTGGTTGATTGGACGGTTCAACGATATTCCAGCTATACTTTGGTTGTTTGTAAATAATGGAGTCTGGACCAGACAATCCAGTGATCAACAACATGAGCAATCCGGAGGCGATCGAGTTTGACCACCCGATCTCGTTGGTCTCCCCTTACGACAAGCATGGGTTGCCGAAGTCCAATTCTAACCTTGATCTTCACGGGTCGATTAAGTACTGCACCAGGATCGAAGTGCAGGTTCAAATGATTACAAGGAGATCAAGTTTTTAAGGTATGAAGGGTAGTTATCATTGTTGAGTTTTGGTTTGGCTGTTATTGAACGCTGCACTCAGCAATATTGGCGGCGGTCTCAAAATAATCGAGCCTGGACCAGACAATCAAGTGATCAACTGCATGAGCATTCATTCTACGCAACTTGAATACAATGAGATGTGTCAACCAAGTCAGCGAGTCTGACCACCCTATCCCTAGTCGCCTCTAAGATAGTTAGTCGAGCAGCCTGAGTTGCTAAAGACCAATTGTAACCCGGATCTTCACGGGTTCATCATTCTCGATGAAGTAATTGGTGATGATACAGAACTTAAAGATCTTGGCGGGAAGCAAGTGCACGGTTTTGACAGCAGGAGTGGTGTGTTCAGTTCTATGAATCTTTGCGATGCATCAAGCTTCTGAAATCGCTGTAACTTGGCTGTAGTCATATGCAATGAAAACACCTACGAGTGAGAGGTGAGTGTCCATAGTCATTGCTGAATCAAAAGTGACTACAATATTATGAGCGCTGGCATTTGGCAATTCGAATGCAAATGGACCCGAGTTCTGTCTTCTCGTGTTTCAGTTTGAGGTTATTCAGGAAGTTCAAAGAATGTTCCTTGGTAACGTCGCCGATGAGCAGGATGTATAAAGTAAATAGAAGTGTCCCGTGAATGCCCAGGTGTTCTTTGAGTCTGTGTAGCAGCATGATATGACATTTTCTGTCAGTATGGCTAGCATTTTACCAAATACTATGTTCAATTTTGTTCCTAGTACAAATACAAATATGCACAGCTATGATATATGGGTTAGATAATATATTTACCAGGCCCACTGCCTGCCATTGCTAATTGCAGGACGTAATAGGGCTATTGTAAGAGAATACATTTTCTAATTAATACCTGTCTCAATGGAAGTAGAGTTTGAGCACAAGGACTTCTTATAATCACGAAATATAATTAAACATACTATTTCGTTTGGTCCTGTGATGTTTGTGTTCTTTGGCATTCATGAACTTGTTACTAAATGTTAGGTTATGGTTTCCAAACACAGGCCGAGGCAAGTAAATAAATAAATATATGTCTTCTTAATAAAATTATAGTGTAACTAATCAACATTGAGTAAGTGACTGAATGTTTTAAATACAGTATTTATTTTAGATCACATCAAATACTTTCAAGAGAAATCAGGCCACACGCTTGAACAAACATCACAGGATTCCAGAGAAAAATTCATTTTTTAAGATTTTAATTCTAGAATTTAAATCCTTGAAAGTAAGTCAATCTGATTATTACCACTTATATCACGATCTGTTTGATTGTCATTTTAGAAGTTGATGAATATCATGAATATATTATAGAAGTTGCCATTAGTGAAGAATCATACCTGTCGTCCTCATTTATATGACAATTTATATCTAGGCGTTCTACTGCGGGCCATAAAAGGCGGGAGGCGAGGTCTTCATGTTTACCCTTTTGTTTACTGATATGAAATACGTCACTGTCACTGTAGTGACACCCGAGAAAAAGGAAGTTATAGATGTTTAAAGAACATGTTAACACCTGTATTGAGAACCCGACTGCCTGTTTCTTTGATCGGTCTTTTCGAAGTATGACCAGTGTCTTGTCTAATGCATTGGGCAAATGCGCCAGATTCCCATTACAGTTGATCTTGATGATACATGATGTCCACTTTTGGTTAAAGATTGACAATATGCTCAAAACTCTAGAAATGCTAGTTAAATTTCTTGATACTGTGATATTCTGGTTGGTTTTACTATCCTTCGTTGGCAGGTTTTTACAATTGACATGTATTTATGGTGAATTCAAAACTTGTTTTAATCACGATATGGCTGAAATATTGCCGATGTGACTATAAATCTTAACTCACTCACTCACTCACTCAAAACTCTAGACAGCAGTGGACGCACAACATGGGTTACAAATGTTGTGTTTTCCGTGGTTTGGGGTTCGTTTAGTAAAGTCACTATGTAAATATGTTTATCCATCTGTTTAAACAAAGGCTGTCTAGTACTTTGCTAAAGTCACTACGGTCGTCTGTAAATGACTCTGGGAAATGTCTTCTTTTAAACATTTTCAGTCAATTCTAAATGTTGAAAAGTATCCATCTAATGATACTAATTGCCAATTAGTAACAGTTTCTAAACAGTTTAGATGTTGCAATTTTAAACTTACTATTGGAACTGGTCTTGAATGTGTGAACACTAAATACAGCTAGTGTATTGTTAATCAAAGGCTTTAGTCCATAGTGACAATAAAATATTGAACTATATATTTTCCTGTGCAAGTTACAGAACATTATGAGAAAAATATATGAGGAACATTTCTACTTCAAATATCGGAGCTTCCTCTGCAAGCATACAGACGGCCCAGACTTGAGTTAGTGTGCATGGTATGGACATTTTATATCTAGAATAATCGCGAGGATATGGCGGCAGTTTGGCTACCACCAATTACCATACTAAATATACCATGGCAACACCCACAAGGAAGAGAAAAGATAAGGCATCCGCTGAATCCTTTGTTTGGGATTATGGTATGCCCCAACGACTGTACACAGATAAACTGTACAAAGATAAACTAGTGAAGGATAATTTTATATAAACTACTCAAGAGAAGTTAAGGGTTTAATAGGACTTTCATAGTGCCAAATTGGTAGAGGGTGATGTCCGAGTAACTCTCCATTCCTTCAAAATAATGCAGCCGAGGCCCCGGAACGGGCCGAGGCACATTATGTTTACGGAATGGAGAGTTACGATGATATAACCCTAAATAAATTGCATTCA